GATTCTGTTCTCCCTCTTCCGGGAGACGTCCTCTAACGTCTTACATCATCAGGGAGCACAGGCGACTATGTCCCTGCCTTAAAAAGCCGGACACGGACCCCCACCCTCTCTTTCTGTTTCCTCTCTGCTGTCTGCTCTGCCCTGCTTCCCTCCCCTACCAGGCCTGGCTTCTCCCTCCTATCCCCTCTTCTTTCTAATAAAGCCCTTTCTAACTCTGGTAGCCATGGCCCATGACTCTTCCAACCAGCACCATTCATCCTTTCAGTGGTGGGTTCTGTTCCAACGTTGACCTGGAAGTACTACGCCCTCACTAGTGAGGCTTCCGGTAACTGCCATGCCTACCTATGACCTGTCCCTGGGATGGAGCTGAGACAGGAGCCCTTAAGACCCAAGATCCGGATGTGCCAGATATCTTGGTTCCTGGTGATCCTGGATGCTGGAAGACAGATCGAATCAAAGTTCTCCAGAGAACCCCGCTGGACTTCACCTCACCTCTCCCAGATCCTGTAACCAACCCCTTTACTGGCTAAAAGTTACCCCAAAATAAACCCCCTTTTTAGCTACATGGGGTTGCCTTGATAAATCCTCACAATATTTATTTCTCTGCCTGCATAAAAATCAACTCCAAATGGACCAACTACCTTAATGTAAGACCTGATAATCTGAAATTACTATTGGAAAAGTAGGGAAAACTCACCAAGATAGAGACATAGGTTAGAACTTTGTGAATTAAACTCCATTTGTCCAGGAAATATGGCCAACCATTGATAAATGAGTTGTCATAAATGTCACTATATGAACTAATTTGGATATTATCAAAAGATGAAAATACATTTGCCTGTGTGTGAATTGGAGACCCTTGCACATTGTTGGCAGAGCAAGCATTGATACAACCATCATGAGACACAGTGCAGAGATTTCTCAAAATATAAAACCATGTCTGCCCTGTGATCCAGTCATCCCAATATCCTAGACATAACAAAAGAAAGGAGGTCAGGATGCCAAAGAGACCTGTGTACTACCCCATGTATCTGAGACCTATTCATGACAGGCAGGCTATGTAGTCAACCGGCATGCATCGAGGGGTGAACTGATACAGCACAGTACAGGAATCCTCACAAAACCAAAACCAGACCTGCCAGATGACAGATGCTGGCTGTGTCTCACAGGAAGAGAAGTGAGCTGCTTTTTGAATTTCTTCTGACAGTGATTTGGTTGCAGGTGGCCAGGGCTCCTGTCATTTTGGAAGCCTCTCAGTCTCTCATTCACATGGGAGCACAGAGCATCCCTTGTCCCTTGAAGGAAACTCTGCCCCCTCAACAAGATACAAATGGCAGGGCAGAAATACAAATTGAGGAGGGAAGCAGGTTACAGGCTACACAAAGGCAATGCCTTGTGATTAGGAGTCAGGGCCGTTTTGTGAGCATTTCCACACCCAAATATAAGGACCTTTTTGATGATGCTGAGATAGGACAACTGCAGAGAAAGTTGGAAGTATTTCAAAATGAATCCAAACCTAATCCTTTAACAATGTGTCTACCCTACATCCACATGTCCGTTGAAGAAGAATGTGATTAGGCCTTATGATTTAGGAGGTACAAACCTGTCACCCCAGTACCCAGGACTCTGAGCAGGAGTATCAGGAGTTGTAGGTCAACCTAGGCTACACAGCAAGACCCTGTCTCAGAGAAAGAAAGGGAAGAGGAATACGGAGACTTGTGGCCAACTTGAGTCAACCTGAAGGACTTTATGCTAAGAAAAATTTACCCTTAGAAGAGAGGAACACTGCGTATGTGGAGCCTAAAACAAACTCTCCATTAGTGATAATAGCGGGATGGAGAGATGTTTCCAGGATGTAGACGAGGCAGTATGTAGGAGGAAGAGGGCAGAGATCTAATGCACAGAATGAAGACCAAAGTACATCATGCAGAATGGGGCTGCTCTCACCACAGGGAGAAATTCAGAAGATATACATGCTGACCAATTCCACTATCAAAATATTCATACAGATATAAATCAGGACATCAGAGCATGTGGTTCAAATATACAAAGGAATTTATTGTAACAAGAAAACAGTATCTTTATTCATACTGTGCCGTGTATCTTTTTGTCCAGTGCCTGTCTTTCTTGGTAACACTTCTGCAGAGCAATCTTATGCCCAGCTCTCTGAGGATATCCTTGATGGCTGCTCTTCACCTGGATACACAATGCATAAAGTCATCAGTCACTCAGCTCTCACTATCTAGGACCTTTCCTTAGAGACTGTCTTCATGGTTCAGTTCTCTAGGTATTGGTTGATGTCACTCTCTAAAAGGGGCCCCACTATAAAAGCCCTCAAACTGCTGTCAGTGTTCTCTATGTCTGTCCCTTGCAGCCGGCAGTATTTGGGATGAAGAAGTGGTGTCCCTGCCTAGGTGATCAAGGGAACAGCTGACTCCATGCAGTAGATGGAGGGGACTTGAGAAGCACCTCACCATCACATGGCTCCTGACAGGAGAAGAGAGGCATCACCCTCAGTGAGGTAAGTCTCCGAGCTGCCTCAGACACTGTTCCCCCAAAACAAGGGGTTAGTACAAGGGCCTGGGTGCTACCTGCATCAGTAGACATTTTCTCTTGTTGCTCTTAGTCCATCTGCTTGTAAGTCTCTGGCCCAACTTCTCTGTCAATCAGAAGAAGCCTCTTTTATCAAGGAGACCTGATAACAAGGCATTTTGGTAAGATGACCAAATGCTCAGTTGTCCATCATCCTGTAACAAATCACATCTTCCCCATGGCCTGAGCAGAGGAGCATCACCTGTGTGTCCCCCTTCCATCCAGTGTGTTAGGGCTTGAGTGGCATCTCCTGCTCTAAGCACCATCCAGTTGAAAATGTCCCTTGCTGAGTGTAGTCCCAGGAGTCTCTTGGGTAGCCCCAGCATAGGGTCACACAGGCAGCAAAGGATTTTCCCAGCCTGATGCCTGGAGACAAAGCCTCAGCAACAGCAATGTCCCTACAGGATGTCAGAAAGAAAACAGCTGAATCTTTGTGAGAGGTACTGTTGAAAATAGTATCTTGTGGTGTACTAAATTGTGGTTTTGGGGTACACTAGAGTGTGGGCCTAAGGAGGGGTGTGGATTTGACCTCTTAAATCACTTTAGTTGTCTCTGAGTTATCTTAGGAGGTAGGAATATGGCAAGAGACCATGAGCCACCCCAGAGGAAGCCCTCACTGTCAGGCCTGGGGTTGCCATTGTTTTCCCATCAACAGATTCTATCCACGATCATGCTTGGATAGATTCAGCTCCATCTCTGAATTCAACTGTCAAACACTCCAGACCTCACCTTGCTTCCACTCAAAGCACAGCTGGTGGGCCTTACCTTGCACAGGAACGGATGTCCTGGGGCAAAATGTGCACCATGGCCTGTGCTGGCTTCACATGGCTCTGCAAAGCAATAGAGCAGGGTGGTAAGTGATTGTGTTGGAGGTGGAGACAGGAACAGGCTGAGTTAGAAGGATTTGAGGCATTTCCAGGAGGGAAATCACATGAAATATGAAATTATCTTGCTTGAATGGGAGCCCTCTCCCATTCAAGCAAACTTCACTAGTGTCAACTGTGCATGAGGTACATTTGGGAGAAGTGTGTGTGTGTGTGTGTGTGTGTGTGTGTGTGTGTGTGTGTGTGTGTGTCCCTGTCTGTCCAGATACAGAGTACAGAGGAGTGCATCCATATGACTCAGATTGCAAAGCAACAAGCAGTTCAACAGTAATAGTGCTGGGGTGTGTTGTGAAGGTGTCTGGATCTGGTGGGGACGGGAAGCAAGCTGTCTAGTAGTTCAGGATGGTGCTGAGAGCCGCACCATAACTAATGGACTCACCTGTTGCCACACACTCTACCTTCCCAAATGAGCACCAGATGGACACTCCCTGCAAATTCGTTCCTCTGTGTCTGGCTCCAACCTGGTCAGCAATATTCATCGTGAACGCACACAAACTGGGCAGGCCCTCTGGGGTCCTCCTCTGCTTCCGGTGTCGCTGTCTCTTCTAATGGCTCACAGGTACACCTGGAGACAGGTAGCTGGACTGATCATCTCACTGTGCGTGGAAGGTCCTCTGAGGCCTGTTTTCCTAATGATCACAGCACTCCGTGGATCCTTGTTTAAAGGATCTCGGGTCCCACAGAGTGCTTCACTTTACTGGCACAATTGTGGCACCAAGAGCCATCATGAACCTACCTGCAAGGGAGAGTCAGGAGGATCATGAGTCTGTGAGACTTGCCTCCCAGAATCCTTTCTCAGTCCTCAGGGTCCAGGTGATCTGAGAAAGGTGTGGCATTCCCCCTCCTCCCCAGTCTTCATCTGCAGACACAGGAACACTTTGCTCCTAGTTTCAGCCTGTGATATGAACACAGCTTCCCATGGCACACAGCCATCTGAACTTCCTACTTGGCTCTCTCCAGCGCCCGTGTGCATCCTCAGCATGCTGCTCTCCACTCTCTGGTTTCAGTTATGGGGAGCACAGTGCTCCAACAGCACTTGAAATAGACACAAGAAAGGGGCCTCTTAGGAGAGCACGCAGGTCTTCTGCTTAGCTGTGCTGGCCCTGTGCAGTCTGATTCCTCCTGAGCGCCTGTCCCATTGCTCTCTTCACCAACCCTTCTCCTCATCCATGCCCAGCCTCGGGACACTATCCTCTGCTGTCTGTCTACATCTAGGTCAAGTTTCTCAGGAAGGATACTGTGGGATTTGCTTTCTGGTGTGATAATATAGTATCACCTATTCCTATAATCTGTTTATTTAAAAGCATATCATTTAGTCCAGGAAACAGCATACTGAGTAAAGGTACTTGACCCCAAGCCTAGGGACCTTAATTCATTCCCTAGGACCCACATGGTGTAAAGACAGAACTGATTCCTGCATGTTAACTTCCACACACATATAGTAAATAAATATTTTTTTCTTTAAAGAAAAGATCATTAAAAAAAAAGAGGCCTAGATACAAAAGTGCATTGGAGCCCCTCCACCTACCTGTTGCCTTGGCTCCCTCCATGGCCCTTTAAGCTCACAGCCAGGATTTTGTTGCAGCCTAGGCGCTCCCTCTTTTCTGTTGGTAAGCAGCAACATAAACTTCTCAGGCCTTTTATAATCCTGCTCTTTAGGCTCTTCCAAATCCGCTTTCTAAAGGGGGCTCTGGGTGCAATCTGGCACTGGCCACTGAAGTATCCCTGGGATGTTTCTGGGGAGGATGGGCTGAGGTCTTTTTCTTGTACAATGAGATCCTCATCCTGGGCCTCCTTGCTGGAGAATGGGGGTGATCTATCCTGTGAGGTCATGTTGTTCTTTGAAGCAGCTGTAGCCACACTGTGGGGCTGTCCTCTGAGGTCCTCCTGAAGTGCAGTTTGTGGGAGAGATGAACTGGTCTTTTCACCTCTCCGACTAGCTGTAGCCACGCTGTGGGGCTGTCCTCTGAGGTCCTCCTGAGGTGAGGTTTGTGGGAGAGATGAGCCAATAATTTCACCTGATGTGTTGCCGTCTTTGCACTGAACTTCCTCCATTGGGGTGTGATGAGATAAAACATCCTGTGAGGACACCTTGCTCTTTGATTTGTTAGGGCCAGCTTCGGACACATTCCGGGATAACTTGTTGGAATAAGTTTCCAGTGCTGAAGACACGCTGGTACATATTTCATCGGAGGTGTTAATAGTGCTCTCTGAATCCCCCGAGGAGCTGTTCATGAAAGTAGCCTCATGTACACGCTGGGGGCAGATTCTGTGAACTGGGTCTGTTTTCTTGTTAGGGCAGTTCAGGGCGGGAGGCGTACTGTACCTCCCCTTTTTATCATTCTCAGGACTCTCAGGGAGAGTGGGCAACATGGAAGAAGTGGGAAGGATAGGGACACTAGATCCCCTCTTTATAGTCACTTTAGGTATTGTAGGAAGGCCTGTAATACGGTTCAAGGTTCCAGCAGCCTGCTTGGGCTGAAGAGCTTTTATAATGTCATCTCCCCAGGGTGACTGCTGCCTAAGAATCAAGTAGGTGGCCATCACTTGATCAAACTTCTTCTCCTGTAAAGATTCTAGTATCTCTCTTTGTTTATAACCCATGACACCCATGATGACCATCACAGTGGGGTCTGGGTAGCTGTCCTCATTGTTCTCTCTAAAGGGATTGGGAGAACCTTCACTGCCATGCTTCAGCCATTGAAAGCCCACAACGTCACCTATTCTTGGTCGTTGTCCAGGATTTACAGTTAACAACTTAGCAATAACATCCCAAAGCTCTGGCGACAGCTTGAATTTAACAGAGTACTTTCCTGCCAAGATTTTGTCCTTTAGTACCCCAATAGTAACTCCCTTGAAAGGGAGGCACCCTGTCGACATAAAGTAGAGTACAACCCCCAAACTCCAGATGTCGGTTGCTCGGCCATCGTAGCCTCCACCTTCAAAGAGTTCTGGGGCACAATAAGGTAGGGTCCCACAGAAATATGCTAGCTTCTTCCCCATGGTGCCCAGCCCAAAATCACTGAGTTTTATATTGCCTTTGCCATCCACTAAAATATTTTCAGGCTTTAGGTCCCTGTGAGCAATCCCTTTCTTGTGACAATACTGGAGGGCACATACCATCTGTTTAAATACCTTACGGGACTCCTCCTCCTGTAGGTAGCCAAACTCCACAATCCTGCCCATCAGCTCTCCGCCTGGGGCATGTTCCATAACCATGTAAGTGTTATTTGTGGTGTCGATTATGTGCAGAAGTTTAATGATATTGGGATGGTCTAGAGATTTCATTATTTCAATTTCTGATTTGATGAATCTGTTCTTTGCACTTTTTGGAAGAACTTTTACTGCTACCTTTGTCTGGGTGAGTAGATGGCTAGCCAATTTTACTTCTCCAAATGCTCCCCGGCCAAGGGTCTTTAGGATTTTATAGTGCTCTGTCAAAGCCTCTTCATCAAAGGAGTTGTACCGTAGGGTGTTGCCTTGACCCATTTCCCACCTCCTCATCTTTGTTGATATAAATGCTCGTACCAACACCAACTAGTGATGCAAGATAAAAATTAATTAAAAGCGGGTCTAGGAGAAACATTTATAGCTATAAATTCCTGCAGTTAAAAAAAGGTGGATGTCCAAAATAACCTAATGATGCATGTCATGGTCATAGGACAACGAGAACAAGCCAAACCCAAGAGACATAGAAGAAATGCTCAAGTCCAGAGCAGAAATTGATGAAATGGGAACTAAAATAATACAAGGACCAATGTAACAAAGACTTGATTATTTTAAGAATAAATATAACTGATGTAATCTTAGCCAAAATAACGAATAGGAAAATTTAAGATACAAGTTAATAATATTAGAGACAAAATAAGAAACTAATAGAAAAATTTAAGATACCAGTTAATAATATGGGAGACAAAATAACATGGTATTACCAGAGATACAACTGAAATCCAGACATCTAGACAATCACTAGGGAATGTTTTTAAAATGTTCCAGTGAATTGGAAAAATCTAGAATAAACTTCTAGACACATATTAGCTATCAAAACTCAACTAAGAAGATATAAAGCACCTAAATTGAAAGACTGTCAGAGTCAGAGGCAGTGGATGACAATACAAACTGTTTTCTGCACAAAGCAGGGCACTTGCCCATCTGAGTTTACAGCATTGTGACCTGCTTAAGCTCACTCCAGACAAAAATCTCTGCATGAAGAGGGGAGGTGGGACAAGAAGTCACACCCCTGATGAACTATTGACAACTGATAGATTCCAGGAGAGGGAGAACACATTTTAAGGGTGTGGCCCCTGGTAGGTGGAACCGACCACTCTCCAGTGGAAGGCCATATATCCAAGAGTATAAGGACAACAGAAACTGTATTTGAAGGTGAAAAACAAAACAAAAAGACACAAATATGGGTGGTAGGAAAGGGAGTATGGAAGATCTGGGAGGAATTGGAGGGAGGGATAAACATGACCAAAACATATTGTATGAAATTCTCAAAGAACTAATTTAAAACAGAAAAAAAAAAAAAAGCAACAAAATCGAAATAGCAATTTAAAATAATCTCTTGACAAACAAAAAAGTCCAGGGCCAGACAAACTCATTGGTGATTTCTATCAGACTTTAAAGAAGAATTCACACTTGTGGTGATATTTTGTTTGTGATCTAACAAATAAAGCTTGCCTGAAGATCAGAGTGCGGAGCTAAGCCACTAGTTAGCCATAGAAGCCAGGTGTTGATGGCTCACACCTTTAATCCTAGTACTCGGGAGGCAGAGGCAGATGGATCTCTGTGAGTTCAAGGCCATTCTGAGCTACATGAGATTGATCCAGTCTAAAAGAAAGACAGAGGCAGGTGTTGATGGCTCACACCTTTAATCCAAGTACTAGAAAGGTGGAGACAAGAAGGGAAATGGCTGGGCAGAGAGAGGTGGGAGGAGACAGGAGCTCATTGCATTCAGTCTGAGGATTCCTGGAGACAGAATGTTGCACACTTTTAGTCTGAGGATGGCTAGAGTTAAGAAGTCTCTCTAGTTACTGGCTTTTTTGTCTTAATGATCTTCAGGAAAGCTTTGTTAGAGCATACACAAAATATCACCAAGATACCAATGCTTCTCAGATGATTCTATGAAATGAAAAGGGAAGGATGCTTCCAGACTCATCCTAGGAGCCTGTATTACTCAGGTACCAAAACCAGGTGGATACAGTAACAAGAGAAAGGTATAATTAACGTCCTTGGTGAACACAGATGCAACAGTCCTTAGAGTACTGAATACTTCAAACTTCAACAGCACTTCAAAGGACCATACTTCATGATGAAGATGGGTTCACCCAGTCATGTAAGGGCTGCAACATATGCCAACTGATTAGCAATGTTGTGCAGAAACAGAAGGGCAAGAATCATATACTCAGCTGAAAAGAGTGAAATTGTCATTTTTCAGGGGAAAAACGCATGGACCTGGAAATCATGGTGTTGTGTAGAACAGGCCAGTCCCACAATGACATTTGTTTTCAAGTCTTGGATTTTAGGTTGGGGAGGGGACCTGATAGTAAAAGGGGTATTAGGGATGTGAAGGGGAAAGAGGAGGGGGTAAGTATATAGAGTAGGTGAATATTATCAAAGTACATTATGTGCAGATACAGAAAAGTTATAGTGAATACGTTTTACTTTTTATGCTTAATATTTACTAACAAAAATCTTTAAAAAGTAAAAAGAGACAAAGAAAATGAGTAGTTAGAAAAAGAAAAATGGAAGATAGTTAACAAAGAAAATTTAAAATATGTAAAAATTAACTTCTAAAACCAGAAAAATAAAATACAACAAATAAAACGAAAAATGAAACCGATACCCCCAAAGCACAACCAGCAAAGTGAGAAAAAAAAACTCACTCTGTCAAGTACAACAAGTCACCAGCATCCGAGTCCAAAACTTCACTAATATCCAGCTCCAAAACTTTCACCAACATCCAAGTCCCACAGCTCACCACCCAACAGCTCTCTGTACTAGAAGGACAAAACCCAGCCCTAGGCAGTGTGTTATATGCACAGGTGTCAGTCATTCCTCACAGTGGCTCCTTGTGAGGTCAGAGCAAGCCATGGACCAATGAGGGATGGGCACACTCCTGTCAAAGGCCTGTGTTAGCTACTCTGCAGTCACTGCTACCAAGTGAACCACAGAAAGTAACATAAGGAAGGTTTGTTTGGGCCCACACTTTGTGAGAACAGGGAAAGCATGGTGGCAAGAGTAGTTGGTGTTAGCATGTGGCTGCTTACACTGTACTGGTCACCCCACCTCCAACACCAGGCTAACAAACTGCTTCCTGGGGCTAGACCCCCTCCCTAAAGCTAGGCCCCAACTTCCCAAGACAATCACCTGCTGGAGACCACAAGTTCAAACACAGAAGTGTCTACATGGGTCATTTCACAAGCAAACCCTAGGAAGGACTGGCTCCACTTTAAGAGTAGTAACAACAGAAATGGTAACAACAAAAACATGGTCCCCTAAAGCTCTGTGTTTTATTGGGCATAGACTCTGATATCTATCAGTAAGAAGGTGAACCCAGAGGATGTTCCAGGGACCTTTGCAAGTAGGATCAAAAATGCTGTGGTAACAGCTGGCTGTTACAGACCTCAACATATCTACATTCAAAGTAGATGTGTTAAGATTCAGATATGTGGTGTACATGAGGTGTATTTTGGGGTATATGAGGGCTGCTTTCTTGTTCTAACATGGCAGTTTGTTATATGTTCTCACATGATCCTGGGAAGGACTGTACTCTCTTTCAGGCCCTGTTCTATAGGTGACACTTTCTGTCACGATGGTGAACCTCCTGCGTTGGTACCTCCAAAGGCCCCAACTCCCAATATTATCATTGATTTAGGAATGAAGATTCAGCATGGATTTGGAGGGACACATGTTCCAATATGATACCCCACAAACTAGAGCTGGTCACCACTAGACGTGACCTGCCTGAGGTGAGTCATTACACTTCTCCTGACAGACATCAAGCAGGATCTCAAAGACAAGGTAGAAATTCCTCATGTAAGGTCTGAGGACCTGCCTGTTATTAAAGTTGTCGTGTTGAGATGAAGGAGCCCGAGGAGCCGGGTAAAAATATTTGCCTGGCCAGATTGATATGAAAGTTTGAATGAATAATAGACACTTTAGGCAGACACACAACAGGTAAATTCTGAGAGAGTCCCTTGCATTACAGTGAATGGGGTCCATTTTCACAGCCATTAAGAAATATTATCTGGCCTTGTCTCTTGGGCCATTTGTGTAGCCTCTTATTTGAATAGTTAAGAGGACACATCACTATGTTTTATAAAGCCATTGGCTTCCTTTTCTGAAACTGCCCATTGGGGGTGAAGCACCAGGGGCTGTGTTTGTCTGAGTGCTTTGTTATGAGGAAACCAGGAGCAAGCCGATAGTTACAAAGAAATGTGGAGACTCGCTCTCATTGCAAATGCTATTCTTCACACAAGCCAGTTCCTTCTTTTCCACCTTCCAGGAGTCTTCTTCCTTCTCCAGTCCAGTGAACAAAGAATCACATTCTCTTGATAATTTGGGTTTCAAGTTCATGTCTCATGTATTTGTATGTAAATGGGTTTATATATTTATGAGTGTAGCAGTATGTTACTAGGAGTCATTTTATTGCTATATTCCTTTATCAGAACAGTACTAGCATCTTCCTCCTAGGCCCATGACACATCATGTCTTAGGATCTTGGGCACTTGAGCAGTGTCAGGTAAGAGTTCCATCTCATGGAGCATGCCTTAAATCCAATTTTAAAACGTGGTTTGTTACCCCCATAACATTTGTATCATTGTTGTACCAGTGTATTTTTCAGACAGATCTCTGTTGTAGGTCTCAGGGTTGTAGTGGGGTGAATTGATGATTACTTCTCTCATCCAGTAGTGTAAATATTATCTTCCAGTATCGTCAACACTAGTTTTTAGAGTAGAGTTTCTAGTTGGGCATCAGATCGGTTTTCCCATGTTCAGTGGCAGAAGTAACTGGTGTCTCCAGCAGTAGGACCTTGCCACCAGGCTGTGGAGAGTAACCAATAACCTTGGCAATAGTTGATGCTGTATGGGGGATATGGCTGTGACCCTTGGGGCTCATAATTTAACATTATGGTACTGGAGGTTTTACTTTGTGGCATAAGATGTCTGGTGTGTGCATTGTCTCCCTTATTATAGGATAACTCCATTAAATGCCTTTTACATATGTATATATTTTATGAAGTTGATGGCCAGTGTCCGTGTCACTTCCCACTCAGCCTCTGAGTGCTTTGTTATGAGGAAACCAAGAGCAAAGTGACACGGACACTGTTCATCAACGGGATGACTTTGCCCAAGCTCGGTCCATGAAGAGGGTCCAGTTCCCTGCAATAACATGATGAAGCCCCCTTCCAGGAGAAGAATGAAGATTTGACAATTTATGGCCTTGATTGTGAGTAGGATGGTTACTTACAAAACTTAAACATAGAAAAGTCTCTCTTTAAGATGATGTCGGTATTCATACTTTCTCTGAATGTTGTTTCAAATGGTCTCCTTTCATCCAGCACCGTATTGCTCATGGTACATGCATGGTCCCAGTGGAAAGCACCACACAGACAATGCAGACTTTAGCAGATCTCTCTAGAGCCTCATGGCACCTACCAATGTGTCGTCACCTAATGCTGGAGTATTGTTCTTTTTGGTGATTTCTATAGTTTTCTTTTATTATTAGCATATAAAGGCATGTATCTGCTGTGGTATTCGCATGGAGTCAGGGGACAAGTCTATGGAGTCAGCGGTCTTCCTCTACCTTTGCATGAGTTCCAGGGATTACACTCAAGTTGCCAGGCTTGCATGGTAAGTGTCTTTACCATTTCAGCCATTTTACAAGCCCCATGGGATATTATTTTATTGAGTCTATCTTTTCTAGTTAATGTGTCTGTTCCTGTAATAAACATCATTACTAAAAACTTTTATATTACTGAGGACTACATGCCCAGAGGTGGCAGTGCCCTAAGTGGGCTGTATCCTCCCACATCAATAAATAATAAAGACAATCTGCAGAAATATGGTCACAAACCAATCTTATCTTGATAGCTCCTCAATTCAAAGTCCGTTTTCCCAGGTTACTATTGGCTGCATCAAGTTGACAAAAACTGAGCAGGAACTTATCCATTAAGTGATCTTAAAAATCAAATTACCTCAAGAATAAGATTCATTAGTAGAGTATTGGATGTTGGGTTATATGAAAGGACCTGTATGTCCATCCTTAGAATTAGTTAAAGGAGCCCATTTCTCATTTTAGTATCTAGCTTAGAAGTACATTAAATAGAGTAGAATTAAGTGTTGGGATGTGGCACAGACTCTGTATCAGCAATCAATGAGAGTTTGGAGCTAAGAATTACTAACCATTGGACTTACAACCACTGGATTGTTATCAAAAGGTTTGTAAATTATTCAAAATATAAGTATCGAATACATAATACTTTCCAGGCATGGGAAACAAACAAACAGGACCATAGGGAGATGTTGCTACTACTGAAGGGGTAGAAATGATTCTTTTCCGTTTCCAACAGATTTGTTTTCTAAGTAGATTAGGAGAAAACAGCTAGTGGCACAAATGTGTGGAATAAATACAACTGTAATGTGATTTATTGATTATTTTATTACCTCAGTGAAGATTCAAAATATCATGGTCTCTCAACCAAACAGGAGATTGTGATCTCTGTGTTTTTTGGAGTTTAAGCTGCAGTTCTTAATTTCTAGTGGATCACTGTGGTTTGGCATATGCCATGCATATTTTCAATCACACTTGAGTAGAACAATGGCTGATTGACACAGGTAGAAATAGGTAAGTATTTGGTTTCATGGGTCACATAACTAGCACAGTTCCTTTTCGCAATGCACTGCCAGGTTGGACCCTACTTCTTGTCAGACTCCTTTATTTGGGCTGCAATATCCTTTCTCTGATTCCTTTCTCCATCTCGGAGGCAGCATACTCCACCATCCTGTTGATTTTCTTCTGTCATGTCTGCACTTTTCATCACATATGGTCACCTTGGAGAGCAGGCTGGCCACTCACAGTCGTCCCCTGGGAGAAGTGTTTGCTCGGCTCTGGTCTAAAAGGATATGTCATAGCTACAGAAGAAGTAGAACTGGTAAAATTTTTCACATGTTGAATCAGAGATAGACAGTTTCATGCTCAGGAACAGCATGTAAATAAGGGGGTGCAAGGGACGTGCCCTCTGCTGGCTGCTGGAGAGCTACTTAGGAAGCAGGAATTGAACCTAAAATCAAGCAGAAATAGCACTTACAATTATTTTATGGTTAGTCTCTGAATTTTAGCTCTTTATTATTAGAGTCTACTTTAATAACCAATTTTGAATTCTAAAATTCTGGACACTTTAGTTTCTACTTACCTTAGGTGGGAGCTTTGAACTTCAAATTACAAGGACCCCTAAAACATTTGACAGTCTTGATATTGTGGACTAGAGAAATAATCAAGCCTTGGGGTCTGCAGTATTTGTAAATTTGGAGCTGAAATAATGATTTTCAGCAAGAACTGGATTTTCTGAGCCTTTACTGCCTATTGCAAACTCTACCAGAACCTGAACAACCCCCTCGCGCTGTAAGCTCTGTCTGCTGAATCTTGAAAGACACTCTCCATAATACCTTTTCTACATCTAAGTTGTTTTTAACCATAATAAAATTTCAAATGTTTGAGAGATTGCAGGTAATATCTGTCTACTTCCATGCTACAACAGGTATCTAATATCATTCCAAAATTTCTAACAGCAACGGTGGTATATTTTAAAAAGACAAGTTAAAGTTCTGCATAGCTTTATTACTTCCACCTACAGCATAATGGCTTTTAAATAATCTTTAGCTTTCTTCTGCAGTGTATAAGTGTTTCTTAATATTTTAGAATATTTCCTGGTTTTCTGTGACAGCATTTTTAAATGTTCTAGGAGAGCATCTTCTCTCAAACTCCAGTAGATGGCAGCATAGAGCTTCTGATCTGGCACGGATGCCACTGCCCTGCTAAGCATAGTACTGATACATAGCTGCTGTCCCTGGTCAGGAATCTGAGCCAGGGTCTGTAAGCCAAGTCCAACCCCACTGACACATATAACATCTCCAAATATTCCTGTCCAGAAGCCAACAGTGTTCAGAGTGAATAGTACAATGTTGCAAATAGGAAATAGAAAGAAAATGCATACACATTTTATACACAAGTGACTCACAGACACCATTTAGAAAAGCAATAAGAGAACATTTATTTAGTGGGGGAAGTAAACTGGATACTTAAATGCTTCTTACTGATTTCAAAACTGATATTAAGTGTTAATTGCCTTCAGCCACCAGAAATCACTAGCCCAAGCAGCCAAGGACACCACTACTCTTTCCTTACAGCCTTCCCATGCTGAGAACTGAATTCCCCTCTTCCCCCCTGCACCCCTCCTTTTTGGAATAATAAGACCGCTGGAGTCCTATTACCAAAATACCTAGGAGCAGTCTCCAAGTCCTTTTCTGGTACTATCTTTTCAGTGTGGGGCCTTCTCTGCTTCCTTTAAGGAAATTGTGGGCATCATGAGATGGCACCAGAGCCATACCAGCAATCAAGGGATATACTGAAGCACCCAAGTCTGATGACACAACAGTGAACCTGAAGCCACCAATGAGAGCACCACTCCATATAACTACCTAAACAACGTGGAACAAATAGCTCAAAATCTGTTCTGTGTGCTAACTGTCTGGTTCAGAAAGTGAAATGATTTGCCAGGGTGTTGAGCTACAACTAGTCTTTGCTTGGTGCACAGATCCCAACATCATGGATATAGACATTACTAATTTAACATTGTCAATTCTGTTTCCTTAGATCAAACAACTTACATGAATATGCATCTTCTAATTTTAAAATACAAACATAACTATATAAAAGTGAGAAAGATTCTTGGAATATATTTAGGTAAGAATGAAAGTTACTTCTGAAGTCAATCATAAGTATGAAAAATATGAATAATTACATAGTCACATTTTTAAAACCCTAAGTTTTCTAAATTATTGTTTTGAGGTTTAATCTGTCTAACATTTCCTTTGGAAAATTGTATGGCATTCTTCTTACCTGTGCATTTAAAATACTGTGCATTTTTAAAAACCCTATTTTCAAAGAGCAACAGCTTTCTAAAACATCAGTCGTTTAGCAAGGATAAACAGAAGAAACACAACTCAGATTTAGCCTCAGGATGCTTTTAAATACCTGTAAAATCCAAGAACAAATCTGCCAGCATCTCCCAGCTGTTAAGAAAGGTAGATACAGACTTAGGAATGTATTTATCTGCTGCGGCCGGCGCAGCTGGAGCACGAAATCTGGCGAGGGACGCCGAGGTTACACAGCACTCTAAACACCCAGTTTCAGTTCGTCAGGGAAGCAGCTCTCTTTATTCGTCCCAACATGGGCTTATATACCCCTCTAACAGCAGGGGTCAAGGAATGGTTACTCTGTATCCGGAGGCAAGCCGGACACTGTTTTCCAAACAGGAAAAACCACAGGGGAACTGATCCCCAGCACCCTCCGGAACCCAACTGCACATTTTTCACACAAACAACTTAACTGGGACAGGACAAAAAAGGACATTTAAAATTAAGGCAGCAAACTTACTGCTGCCGACATTTATCCTTGATCAAATTATTTCCAAAATAAAGCCTTCTCTTATGAAATGAGACTCTGTTGCTGTAGCAGTTTATATTTTAAACATAATATGTTCCTTATGTTTAGTTTTACATAAAAATTCAACCAAGGTCTAGAAAGAACAGAAAGCCAGGACGTTCCATGATAGAATCCTGCTTGGCAACCCTCACACAAGGAGCTCCCTAGGCACTAATGTACACGAATAAAGCTACAACTTCAAATAACAAAAAGGAAATGATGTGAAATGAAGAAAATTTGAAACCATGTGGTGTCTGTGGGGAAGTGTAGGGTCTCAAATCACAGCTTAAAAATAAAAAAGAAAATTGAAAAAGTGAATTAGGGTAGGTGAGGGGGTAATTGAGTTATTTCCAGCTAATACTGTAGAAATTGAATTGCACCTAATTGTGACCCATTCAGATAGCACCAAATGCTCATGCAAATTGGCACCTCATTGCATTATAGGAATAACTGGCAGCCAGGGAAGCGTTACAGCCCTACTTGAAAGACATGGTGTTTGAGTTTTGCTTTTACAAAACGCCCAACAATCACCAAACAAACTGCTCCCAGAGCAACCTGTGAGGAACACTCAGAGCCAATTTTGCTCACAGCCGACTACTCACTACAATTTATCATAGTTGGCTTCCCATTTCTCAGTCTGTTCTGGAACACATTTGACCTGGCTTTGATTGCACATTTAAAGATCTGTTCTGACTAGAGCTCTCCAGCTGGGCAGAGATTTCCTGGCCTCTTGCCATGTAAAACAGGCTGTTACTGTGGATCTCTGCTACAGACCTCAGCAATTGTTTCCCAGTGTAAATGAGAGCAGGGCAATCTTTCTTGGGGGGATTTCTCCTCTGAGCCTCTAGATTTAGCTGCCTGTGGATTAGAGCAGTGTTAAGAAGGAATTTCTATTACCCACCAAATTTAGCTGTTAAAAAAAATTAAGCCAGCCACTTCAGTCTAACTGAACTATACCCCAAATACTCATCAGTCTTATCTCTTCTTGAATATTTACATAAATCTCTTTTGATTGAACTGGTTTATTCAATGTCATTTCATATAGGATAATATTCTAAATTCTACACTATCTTTCATGTGTGAAAAGCATTTCTGCCACAAGGATTTCTCTAGCTCTTTAAATTTCTACCATTCTTTAGGGCTGTTTTCTTTATGAATACTCTCCAAGTTTTTGTAGCCTCTCCACCCTGCTTGTATTTCCAATGCAGAGACAGAACAACACATAACTGGTATACTATGAAGGAAGACTCTATTAGTGTAAAAATATATTCCCGATCATCTAATCATGGTTTAGACCTGTGCTGCGTGCTAGGGAAGGAACTAGGCAAAGTCAGAACAGGATTCCACCCTCATGGAGCTTGTAGACTAACATGGGTAATGACAATAATTAAATCAGTTCATAGCTTTCCTTTCAGCCCTAGCTATGTTTCCTTATATTAGCATGGATTATGTGTTTATTTTTAGTACATTTCTCTATACACTTTAACTATATTGAAAATTTTTAAGTAAAAAAAGAAGAATCTCTCATTGAACAATTGACCATTGTGGCATTCCAGGTAATGTGATTTGTCACTTAGCACATGTGACATAGCACGTTACCAACATGTTATTTCTATTTGTACAACATGCTACAATTTTGCCATCATTGGCATCATTCACACATTTGGATTCTGTATCTCAAGAGACCAGTTAGTGACTGGCGTTGTTATTGGTATATGCTATCCCAGAAACAAGCAGCCCCTAACTAGTGTTTGAACCAGTGAATTATTTACTGGGGGTGACATGATATAGTCATAAGTATACCATCATATCAATGTAAATAAAGAACACACATTGGTTTGAAACCATTAACAATTACTATAAATGACAGAATTAGGGGGAACCATCATTCTTTTTGTCCCCAAGTATTTTTTAGAAGTTTATGTTTTTCTGAATTTCTCTAAGTTCCACAGTCCTTAACATGGAAATACACACTGTCTTAGTTACTATCCTATTGCTGTGTGAATACATCATGGCCAAGGGAATTTATAAAAGGAAGCATTACATTGGGGCTTGCTTATAGTTTCAAAGGGTTAGTCTGTGACTATTGTGGTGGAGAGCAGAGAGTTATGTTTCTGGATGACTATTGTTGTAGAGGCAGGTATGGCTCTGAAGAAGTAGCTGAGAGCTCACATGATCCAAAAGTTGCAGGCAGAGAGAGATGGGGGGGAGGGGAGATCTGTGCCTAGCATGGGCTTTTGAAACCTCAAAGCCCATTCCCAGTAACACACTTCCTCCAACAAAGTCACCCATACTCCAACAAGGCCACACCACCTAATCCTTCCCAAACAGTTACAGCAGCTGGGGACTAGGCATTCAAACACCTATGGGTGCCATTTTCATTCAAGCCACCACACATACTTATTTGTTCTCAATGTTGTTTTCCAGGATGACTTCAGAAAGTCCTGTGATTGCACGCTATAACTCAGGAAACTAAACTATATTATGGGAGAACACTTTGGTCCACTAGAACCTGTTCAGTTAGTCACCTACACAGCTTGTCTTTTGATAGAAAAAAATGGTGACAAGTGGTCTCATTTTTTTTTATCTCTAGAGTTGAAGAACTCCTTGGGAATAAGAAAAGCACAGAGTACTGATACCAAGATAACTTTCAACTTTTCCACATTCCCCAAATCTACCTTAAAACTTCACATTACTCTTTCTAAGTGTGCTGTAGTTTCTCTGGTATTAGCCACCTACTTACCCCAGGTTTAAATTCAGAACAACAACAACAAAAAGCTTCTGTCATTCCAAAATGGAAACATTTGCTTTACTTCCTTTAAGTTTTCCGTATTGTTTCTTGCTTGTTTGAAGGTTGGGGACAATGACTCTGATAAGTTATCAATCAATAACTAGTTAGGTTTAGCAGTTATTCACACTATGGGGCAATGTAGCAAGACTAAACATTGTCAGCCTTATTTTAAGAAGCTGGATTTCTACTTTTCCCTTCATCCTACAAATTGAAAAAAGAGCAATTTAAATCAGAAAGAGTTGTTGAGTGAAGTAGATGATTGTGTAACAGACAGGAAGTACCTCATGCCCTCATCTTTAAAGTGGAGGTGATAAGACGATCAATCTCAAGAACACCACACTGTGAATGCCCCACAAATATCCCCCATACACCAGGATTCCTATACACCTCAGAATCGACATCCTCACAGGAATCCTATTAACACTAAACAAGGAAATTTGTTAGCTGGATAAGTGTAAATAATCAAGAAACATTGGTGTTTCTTAATTTGACTTTCTGATCATCTAAACTGTCTTCTCTAATCGTCTGTTCTATACTGTTTTCTTCAATCATAAATTCCTATTTAAAAACATCTCCTAAAGATTCAGATTCCTGCTATTTCTCCATAAAAACTTGAATTCCTAGCTCTGACTCTTTACTTCTGGTGCTCTGCCAATCACTTATCAATGGATTTAGAACAATATTTTATTACGTACTTTTTTGGTATTTATTAAGTTCTAAAGTGATAATTTTTTTTTTTTTTTTTTTTTTTTGGTTTTTCGAGACAGGGTTTCTCTGTGTAGCTTTGCGCCTTTCCTGGAACTCACTTGGTAGTCCAGGCTGGCCTCGAACTCACAGAGATCCGCCTGGCTCTGCCTCCCGAGTGCTGGGATTAAAGGCGTGCGCCACCACCGCCCGGCTAAAGTGATAATATTTTAATGAAACATTTTGTTGCAGTAGGGCCATGGACAAAGACAAGGCCCTCAGCTGTAGCTCTGGCCTAGATGTCATCATGGCATTGAGTAGCAGCACAGGCCACTTAAATATGCATGCATCTTGGCCCTTGGACACCAACCTGGACTCAGGTAGCTAAGCTGACCCTGGGCATCCCCATGGCCCTTGGTGTCAACAGGAGCCACATAGGTTACTCCAGACCCTGGCTGCTATAGGGTCAAGGACCCGGACAAGGGAGGATATGAGGGGACTGGGAGGTGAGCAGAATTGAGGTACATGATATGAAACTCCCAAAGAAGTCAATGAAAAAGTTAAATTTTAAAAATAAATAAATAAATAAACATTTTTGTTAAAACCAATGATAAACTAGTCTGCCCCCATCTTAGACTTGGAAGACATCTCATAATGAAAACAAATTGGATTCATTCCTGTTTATTATTAAATGTGTTTCTTAAGGATTGGGCTGTACCCTGCCTGTAATCTTAATTACAAATAGTTCCGTACTGCCTGCTTGAGGAAACAGAAACCATGCCTTTGTTTTGAAAGGTTATTATAACCATGTTGTTATGACTACCTGGTTATGACCAGGTTGTTATGACCACCTTGTTACAACCCCCTTGCAACCATATCTTTATTTTAGGGAGTTGTTATGACCAAGTTGCTATCCTTCTGTTCTGGTTCTAAAACCCTACCTATTTGCCTGCCAAATCCTCCATTTGGGAAACCCCTACTCCTAAACTATAAAACCCTTATCATCCCCACATCAAAAGTTGATCTCTTGAACCCCTCTTTTAGTGAGAGCCAGCCCATGAACATGAATTAAATAAGTTTGCTTTAATTAATTTGGTCATGATGATTTGGTTCAGTGGTCTTTCTGCTTACCTCTGTAGGATTAACACTAATTCTTAGCTATGTATGGTGGCTCGCACCTAAACTTCTAGAATTTGGGTGACTGAATAAAGCAAGAAGCTTGTTGTGAGTTCCAGCCCAGACTGGAATACAGTAGGATACCTTGTGTTGTGTGACAAGACTTTTCCTGGGGAAACACTACATACATCTACTCATCCAAGATAGAGAACCCAGGACAGGATAAAATACAGATACGGTGAACCATGAGTCTTATTGAGTTTACTTACAGGAATAAGCTGGTCTCTGTTCTTTTTCAGGCAACTGGTGTAGTCTCAGAATTTTCTTTGCAATTTGGCTTGTCTAAG